TACTATACCTGCTCCAACGTTAGCGACTCTCCTTCAGAGGATTTGACTGTAAATTTTGTGAATTGCTGATGCTGACCAAGGCAAAGGTAATGGCTTGAGTATAATAGGTTGGCACATAAGTTTTGCAGCCTTGTCCATAACTTCGTTCTCTAGGAATAAGGCGCATCCAAATTTTGGCATTATGTAGACGCGGAAGTGCGCTATAAATCTGTGCAAACCGTTTGATTTTTCGTGGCAAAATGGAGAAATCTGCGTATTCTCCTAAAAGCAGTCAAAATTGAGGGCTTTGTGGTTTTTTCAACAAAAATGAAGACCTACAGAAAGTAAATCAACCAAATTCAGCTGGAATTGTAGGCAAAATGTTCTCAGAGGGTGGCTACTGAACCCAGCGAAAAAAGAATCGTGATTCATAGTTAAATCGAAATCTGGCGATTTCATAAACTCGAACAAATCGAATGCGTCAAAATAGCTTGGATAATTCATCAATGCCAAAGAGTCAGAATTGTCGGATTTTGGCGAAACTTTGCACGATGGGGTAACTTGACACGCTGAATACAAATATCATATTCAATTGTTGTCAGAGTCAAAAATTAGCCTAGTGATTTTTTGTAATTCAACTTTTTCGTAGCAAAATAATTTTTTCAAGCAAAATGAATATCATTTTCGTAATCAGGATGTCGAATAACCCCCTTAGACCAAGTTTCACCCTATCCGTTTCAATTCCTTTTTCTTTCCCATTCAAAAATTGCCTTACCGTAACTCTCGAACGTGATGTTGGAATACGGCAGGAATGGCTGCTTTCGCTGTTCACACGATACTCATTATAATACCTGAAAATAGAAGCGCCACATCGCAAAACGAGTTATAAGAAAAAGTTGCAAAACTTATGTGCCAACCTAATATTTGGATTATTCGAGCGGTTACCAGAGGTTCGTTCTGTAAAAATGACTTGTGGGAAAACTCAGTAAAACAAAATTTTCGCCGAAAAATTGCCAATTTCTTTACGTGGTTTTTTCCATATTTTCCATACTTTTCACCTGTAGAATAGTGGGCACTTTTTCTCCATAAATTATTTTTGAATATGTGTTCGTGTTACAGACGTTTTGACGATAATTGTGTACATGAACGAAACTTTACTTGTTATAGGACTAGGCGGTAGTAAGGAAATTCTAGGCAACAATCACGTCAGAATCCTGTAACTCATTATTAGTAAGCCATTTTGGATGATTTCGATAGGAATTCTCTTCTATGAGACACACTAGATACAGCTCATAAATCCGGCGCCGCTTCCAGTAATGGCCCTTACTGCAACCAATATTTTGTGCAACTGTTGATGACAATTTGTTTAGTCTCCTTTTGAGTTGCATTCTGAAAATTCAGAAAGGAATAAAGAGGCACAATCGAGTAACCTTTGATTCCAACTGGCTTGGCGGCTCGAAGGCGGGGCTTTGTGACCTAATTAAGGCCACTCGCGCCCGCGACGCAGTCTGCGTCTCTCCCGGGCGCGTGCTCTCTGATCACTGCCTAGTCTTAATTAGTCATAAAGCTCCACCTTCCAGCCGCCAAGCCAGTTGAATCAAAAGGTACAGTTTACGGAACTTACTCTTCTACAAATCCTATGACACGGATATTGTAACGCGAGTCAACCAAGTATGCTTTTCGTTCCTTTGCTATGCGTCTTACTTCCTCTAGTCTCTTCACTCTTTGTGTAGCGACATAATTACGGATTAAGGCAGCATACATTTCCAGTATGCAGAAATATTCCTGGAATATGTTAATGCTGCACATGTGATTTTTTTGGCGTATAAGTGGTCCTGAATCTTTAGATCCTTACCAGATTGGCAGGAAGAAACATCTGCAAACGATACCGAAGCTTTTCATCTCTTTTTTCCCTATGCTGGCTAAAAGCTCTCCATTTGTAGTCGCACTTAATCTCATGCCTGGCAGCAACTGCTGCGAAAAGAACCTGCAGTTATGACATGAGAGGTAGGAATTTGCGATGGAAAAACCTACAAATAGCACGAGGCAGTAACTCATGGTAGAGTAAATGTAGCCGGGTCCATCTATGCTATATAGCAGCGTTATCACAAAATTACTTTGCAAATTTTCATTTAAAAAAGTCAGTTTTCGAACTTTTGATACACTCCATGAATGCAATCACTCGTAATGGATAATTTGTCACTTCATTAGTAAACGCTCTTTTGCTCTCAGATCCGTAAAAACAATAATACTGTCCTCTAGTGCATGCTTATTAATAGCAGGGCCTAGCACGAGGTGACATTTGAGAATTTTGAAAACGAATTCTCCTTCGAAGGTAGGGGAACGAAGGCCGCCAGTTTGAGTCGTCTTTCGCAGCCAACTGGTCCTTTCGCACTGTTGTTGCATGTCGTTGCAGGACAGTAGTCCGCGGAGGCGACTCAAACTGGCTTTGACACTGCAGAATATTACGAAGTACCTTTTGCGGTATTTGTAGAAGTATGGCTAACAACTTCAGCGAACGATGAGTGAATGGAAAAGTTAATAGACAAGGAAAATCGATAATAGAATAACAACACTTTAGCAGAAGGCGGATTATATATCATACAAGGGCCGTAACAAAGCAGAAGAGACGAAGATTAAGTTAAGTAAGAATTCATAGGTAGACGAACTGACGAATAGATTAATGTAAATAAAATTTGGAAAATATGTGAAGAAAGGAAAAAATCATGACCTTGTTTGGTTCCGCGCAACCTCAGGGTGCTCCCAGGTTGCGCAGGAGCAACCTAATTTGAATAAACACTCACAGCCCCTTTCATTTACATAATTTTTTTTATAATTTTTCATGCTTTCCTTTTAAATCGTCGCCGTGAAAGTACACACCAAATTTGGTGGCTCATTATTGCTTACCGGTTGTAAACGGATTGATTCTCGTCGAGTCATTTTTAACTTAATATGCATAGTGCACACTATGCACGCTAACTGACGAACTGCGAAACTAGAACCTGCTCATTTCCAGTGCATGCTCCTCGTTTCCTCGCTTCTTTTGTTTTAGTCGGTTATATGTTAGTTAGTAGAACACATTTCTACATTTTGTTAGGTTAGAAAATGTTTCACTGGCAAGTTACTAGTATGAGTGCCGTCGCTAATAGGGCTTAGTGTGCAATCTCACATATTAAGTTACAAATGACTCGAGGTTATTTATTTTTTAGGCATAAAGATTATGTTCTAACACGTTAAAATGGCGTACATACGGGTTTAAGCACTTGTCATGTTTGTAACATGTAACCTACATGTTACTGGTGAAAAGACGTAGGAGTTGAAATAAGGGCTTATTAAGGGTTAGCTTTGTGCTTACTAATATTTTATCAGATTTTATGAAACCACCCGGGCAACTTTACGAGTTTTAAAAAACGATATCCAGCTTGTGAAAGCGCCACATTCGCTGAGCTCTGTACTAACAAGAACAGTCTATGACTCTCAAACGGATGCATTACCAGGGCTCGGCACAGGTGGCTTACAGGACAAACTGGATATCGTTTCGGGATAAAAAGCAAGGGATATCGTTGAAGCGGAAACCCCAGGCCCCCTCCCCCCCCCCCCCCCCCCCGACACACACATAATCGCCTTCTGCCGTTATGTCAAACATCTGTAGAAGACGCAAATTGCCATTTCTGCCTTATCGATCTGCAAAAACCAAAATTTCCTGTTCCAACATGTTCGCCGGTTAAAGACAGTGTCCAGGCAAGTCTGGTCGCATGGATTTTTCGTCTGGAAATTTATGAGGGGCTCCCAACTAAGGCATTGCCCAAGGGGCAGCGCAAATTGCTCAATCACGGCTGAGAAGTCCCCGAAAACCCCGCGCCTGCGCCGTGACCGTAACAAAACGACTTCGCTCATTTTAACACTACGTTCTGGGACCAATCCTAAGTGTTACGATCACGGCGCAGCAGCGGAGTGTTGTGGATGGATTTCTCAGCCGTGAATGAATCATTTGCGCTGCGGTTTAGGCAGTGTCTTAGCTAGAGCCTCCTCGACAGTTTCCGGCAAAAAACCCATACGCCCAGATTTGCCTGGACACTGACTTTGAGCGCGCGAATTCAAACTCACCCCGAAATAAACAAAAGACTTGTTTACAGCGAAGAGAAAATGAAATGATACCAAAATTGTTGTGTAGATGGGCAATAGGGAGTTACGACTATGCGCGAAAAATTATGAAAAAGTTATGTGAAATGAAGGCGCGGCAAATTTTTTCCGGAGTTGGGTGGCTTTCCAGCCACCCGGATAGCCACTTGAGGTGGCGTGAAAAGAAAAAGTCATATATTTTTCTTCCCTCACATAATTTTTTCACATATCAATACAACCTTGTTCTGCATCAAAAACCCTAAAAATGAGTTTTTGATTTTCCCTAAACTCCCTCTTCCTCACCTAGTTACAGCCCTACAAATATTTTGTATAACGGCGGCAAGCCTGCTCCAAGCGCGCAGGGATGCGCGCCGGACACAGCATGCCACCAATCCGACGAATACGAACATCTTCAGTTTTTTCGTCTGTTCGATGTTGGTTTTATGTTGTCCCATTATTTTTTCGTTATTCGTATTGATCCGTTCATGACCGCTTCATAGGTGATGTCGTATTTTTGTGCCGGAGTCTACAGGGACTTGTTTTTGAAAAATTGAAAAAGCCACCTCATGCCGAGCCCTGGTCTAGGCATTCAGATACGCCTCGAAAGCAGTACCGTTGGGTTGGGATCTCTAGATTCAACTGTATGGAAAATTGGCTTGCGTACCCGGCTCCAGTCGGCCCTTGCCGATGTTTGAACAGCTCAAATCGCACTTTATATCACATTTCCTTGTGTCCATTCCACTGCCAAACTCTAATCCCGGCTTTTAATTGTGTTTTCATAATCGATGTAACCTCCAACGGCCTCTTAATTACCAAATAGCGTTCTTTGCAATACATCCCAGTGCCAAAGTCTGAAATTCGATATAATCGATAAATGCAATAATAATAATTTTTTGAAAATGAGTGTCGCTTTCGTGATTAGTATCCCGCTTATACCTCCCTCCCCACGGCATCTCGTACCAACTTCCACGGGTCCACCTTACAGTTGCAAATTTGACAAAATTGATGGGGACTTGACATTCACTCACTTTATTGTCTTTGTAAACAGCATGCGTACGCAAGCCGATAGGGCTCCATAAATTTGAAATTACAATATCATCTTGAGGTAGAATTGGATTTGTACCAAAATCATGTTTATGTCTTTAAGAAGGTGACGGTAAACAACTTGAGAAGAACATGCGATTTACGCACAACTTCTCATAAACATCGTCTGCACTCTGCATCCGAAGAGATGTTGGGTCGCTGCTCAACGCAGTATGGCTCTGGAAAGCTTTCGATCGTGGGTAGAGCAGATCTTTCGCATTTTTGTTGTCTTTTATAGCTATTAAACGTGGATTATTTCTACATTTGGTAAGTCAAAAAAATTCTCATAGTACGCATAGCTTCAGTGAAAAATTTCCAGAAACGACAGGTTGAATTAGCTGTACTGAAACAGCGGAATTAGCAGGGCACTTCCGAATACAAAACTACGAAATTATCTTGTGTAATTATTTTGTATACATGTAATGATGCGCCTAGTGTATGTAGCGGCAAGTAAAGTTGTATAACGGCTGTCGCTTGTGACCATTTTTATTACAGTTTAGAAATGCTAATGATCTCGGTAGGGATAAAATAAGGGGCTAGCAAGTCCCTTATCTTATCCCCAGTTGGTTCATGCTTCCTGTGGCATGGTTCCTCCAGTTACATGCAGGCTATTCCTGAGGCATACGATTAGGCATAGGCTACTACATCCTGATACCTGTTCAGTTCAGTTTTCTTTACCAACGATGAGAATATTGCTATGTCTTTCTGATTTGTAATAGTCATATCATGCAATATAAGTAAGCGCAAATAATTGAATAAATAAATGAAATGAGAAAAATCAAAGATATGAGCTTTAAAAACACGACAAAATTTCTAAGCCGACTTCATGCACAGGGTGACCCAAAACTAAGTACACACTTTTTAATCGTAAACAACTCTCTTCCCACTAAATCTTTTCTTTAGCTTTAGACACCATTCAGTAGTGGATGCTTCATCCTAGATTCATCTATGAAGCGAATTACCCGGCTCTCTTCGTTACTGTAGAATTGCGATAGGAGCTTTGAAGAGGGTTTTGAGTCATGGCTACATATTGTCCCTGAATAGATACTCAACGAGCCGTAAACTCTATCATTAGGCTGAACCGAGTCGCTGATTATCAATACGAAGTTCACACTCCACCGTAAGACTTATTTCATAAGCTATGTCAAGCAAACCGCAATTACGTTTTTTTTTTCAGCGTTTTTCAAAAACGTAAGCGGATCATTTAAAATTGTTAAAAACTCATAAATATTTATCTGATGAAGTCAGCATGCTTGAAAACATTTCTATGCGACTTTCTAGATTTTTTGGAATTATTTGTTCAAGCGGCTTACTTCACAGTGGCGATGCATGCTGGAAGTTCTTACCGCAATCCTACAGAAATGAAAGGCCACGGATGTTTCTCCCCATGCTGTATGTCTAAGTAGCTCCATATTGTAGATCTAAGTATGTAGTTGAAGCCTCCTGTACTGGATGGTAGTTAAAGCTACGGAAAATACTTAGTGGGAAGAGAGTTATTGACGATCAAAAAGTGTGTACCTGTTTTTGGGATGCCCTGTATAATAATGCATCATTTGTCCAAAGTATTGCTTTGCACGAAGTTTTCACCCGGAATAAATGCAATAAGTTGTGAGTTCCTAGCTAAGGTGAACGGAAATATAGTTTTAGGGTAATAAGTATCCATTACAACTGGATGTCAATATCATACTATATATAAAGCGCAAGCACTCCCATCTGACGTCAGCACTCGCGCCAGAGCTGTAAACATCCGTCCGTCGTTCTGTGCCGGTGCAAGCGTACCGAGCTGATGATTCATAGCGGCAGTGATGCCTGTCTCAGACGATGTTGATCAAGTGGCACGACCCAAAAAGTGCAATCATTAGGCAAGCTAGCTTCCTTATAGTTCGAGTCGTTTTTAGCAACTCAACTTCGATTGATTTAGAACAATCAGTTTACCATTTCTCTTAAACCATCATATTCCTTCAATTACTTCAAAAGATTGCAAATGTAGATGCAATATTCCATGAACCAAAAATCTGCACATTTCGTTCTACAGTAACTTTGTAAGAAGCAACTTATTAGGATGATCCCCGTATATTTAATTTAGTCCAAAACCTCTGATGAGTTCGTACAGAAAATTGCAACGAATCCGCCTTTAGAATATTTGTTTTCCAATCCTTTGATTCAAGCACAAACTACAAGATTTATATCAAACGATTAGCATTTTTTCAGTTTCAACAAGTGCCACCAACACATTATTGTTAGAAGATTTATTTTCATTTTTTTGACCTCTCAAGCTTTTGTACTTCTACGCTGGAGCGTTTAGTTCGAAGTGCATCATAACTTTTCAGGGAAGTCAGATATTTCAGCAAAATATTGCGGTCTCCCATAATTCATTTCTCGAGTGCTTAATATGTTTTCTCATCCCAAAGCAATTGCGCCATATCTTTATTCGATGGATTTTTCTGCTTTCTCATTTTTCTGCTAATATATCTCAGCAAGAAAGTTGGAGTTATCAGAATTCCTGCATAAAATGCTTAGTAATTATTTTTACTTCAGAGAAACTGCGCTAAATCTGCCTTGAAAATTTTTCGCAAATACTTTTACTTTCTTCAGACAATCTCTGTCTATGATTTTCCAAATTGTCAGGTATTTTGGCAGAACAGTTGCAATAACTCGAATTTCAGGTGTCTCACAATTGTCGACACTACTCTGCTCATTCAAAAGCAAATTTATTCTGTTTCTAGCAGTAATTCAAGCATAGTCTTGATCGTGCAACACTTTGTTGGACAGTACTTCGCCTAATTTCGCTATAAAACATTGTTGACTCTGTGCAAGAGATCAGAGATTGACACGAATTCCTCAGTTAGACGTTTAGATCCCGGAAAATTGTAGCATGCCATTCAAAAGGTATTCACAAACATCATTCATTCTGCAAATGTTTACTATTCAAAAGGTGTCAAGGTTGCATTTTAGTCCATCATAGCTTCCACTGTGCGCCTCAAAAAAATAAAAAATTCGCGCCTTTCAAAAATCTTATATGTTATTAATGAGATAACCTGAAAATTAAACGGATTTTGGAGCACTTCTGTGTAAATTGCAAGGATGCTGGACAGTTTGGGAAACCGTTATAAAACGCGATTGAGATTTCGATGTAAATTTTTTTGAAGTGGAGGAGGAATTTTGACGCTTCCATAAAAAATACTTTGTGAGAGAAAAAGAAAGTGTAATTGAAAAACTCTAGATTTGATAGTTATGTTGGCTAATTTTCGAGGATGTCAATCCGAACTTTTCGCTACTCTAATTTTGAAAAGAGATAAGAGTAGCCTGACACGGGAATGGTCAGAAATCGATGGGCAGTTTAGACAAGCTGCATTACTACTAGGTGCAGCATAAACCTCTGACTTCGAATTTGAATTCTACATCTGCGCGCCTTTGTGGGCGAAATTATTAGCGGTTGAAAGCCGCCAATTTGCTAAGAAATCGTGCATGAAAAGCATAATTTTGGCAGTACAGAGCCATGTTCGGCTAAATGCTGGGCCAACCATGCAGCTAGGTTACTTAACACTTTTGAAGCCCAATGGTGAACTAAAAATGCAACGGTGTGCCCAATTTCGCAATTTTTGCGTACGGTTTTCTCGCAATAAAACTGCTCATAACTTCGTCCACAAAGTCGCTAAGCAGATGTGGAATACAGATTGGAAACCAGCGTATAACGCTCATTAAATTTTAGGCAGCTTGCTTGGATTGGCCACTTCGACCTCTGGCCATTCCCATGTTAGTAAGAACTTTAGGGCCGCATGCACTAACCTCCCCGCGGGGAGGTTAATGCATGCGGCCCTTAGAATGAGGTTATAAGGCAGCTGTGGGGGGGGGGGGAACAGGGTCTTCCAGTGTGAAACAAGTGGGAAGAGTGTACATGGCTGATAAAAGCTTGCCGGATTTGAGCGCTTGCTCCTGGGTGAAAAGGAGCTGAGAGAAGGGGGGGAGGAGAAGCAATCTTCAAAGAGGTCGAAGAGCAAAAGGCTATACAAAATTTGCGTATCTGTGGAGCAAAGGAAGGAGCGAAGCGGCTTGAAGAAGCTGGGAGGAGACAGTCATAATTCTGTTGCCACTTTTGATAAGAAAATCAAAATCATCGAAAGCAGGAGATCCATGACTTTGATGACCTCTGAGAGTCGTTACGTTTTCAAATCCGTGCCATACTTTTAGCGAGGAAAAGGCTAAAAACCTCTTATATAAGATCTAACTTTTAGTTACATTCTACTTCACACACATAGCCAGTCCAAAGCGCCGCGAAGCGGCGCTTTGGACTGGTGTGAAATATTTGAGGCGGTGGACAAAAACATAGCATACTTACCTTCGAGACGATGCTGCTACCCCACCGTAATTGCATGGTATTTTATTGAGTTTGTGCTACGCCTGCAATCCTTTCATTACAACCTCCGCATGCGCTACTGACAAATTGCAGAAACTATCAGGTTCTTCCTAAAGTTCTTTCGCATTTTTCTAACAAATCTAACACCCTTGCTTCATGTTGAATTTTCTCGAAATTGTTTTATTTGAAAATGAACATTAGATCACACAGCACTGACTCCGCCGTAAATCATGGAGAGCTAATGCGAGATTTGGAAACCCATAAGAAAAAATCACTTAGAACCAGAGTTTTTGGGCAGGGTCACCGAATTACAACGAGAAAATACGGGAGTTAGATGCAATTGAAGATAATTTCCTAAATTTGGCAACTTTTAGCTGGCTTAAAAAATCTGAAAAGGTCAAGGGGGAATGAAGCAATCACCAACATAGATTCAATGACCTTTTCTTTCTGGCTGAGCAAAATTCGTGCTGATCAGGAGCAGACCGATTTCTGTAAAAAACGCAGGACATACTCTTAAAAATCATGACACTTCAAAAAAAATTCTATTATTTTGTGTAACGTCTTCGAATTTTTGGTGAGCTACCTTAAAGTTGCCGAAAATTGAGTGATCCTCTTCTTACATTTTCAGCCCTGCCTTACGCCTATGCCTATACATTGCAGTTAAAGGCAGCGTCCGGGCAAAATTTCGCTTCTCAAGTTTCTGCCATGGGGCCTTTCCGTGGCCCTAATTACAGTTGTGAAGGCTAAATTGTTCAAAACCCCCAAAAAACCCAATTCTTGGGGACCCTCTTTTCAAGGAGTGGACGAGTTTCGGATTGCTCATCCCCATCGCATGCCAGCTTGAGGAGCTGCACTGCACGGATGCAGTTGCATTGCAGTGTGCACAAACCACCCCTGAGGACGACTGCTCACGCAGGTGTGCAGTCGCATTGCACACCTGCGTGAGCAGTCGTCCTCAGGGGTGGTTTGTGATACGAAGGGGCGGTTTGTGATACGTATCACAG